TGCCTAGAAATGTATAAAAATTGGCACATTTATTAACTTTGAACCCCCATAACTTTTTATGGGGGTGAGATCGCCACGAACTTTTTATGGTACAGTAGTGGGGAGACCTCCTCTTTCGATCCCCCCACCTCCACCCGTTTGAAAATAACTTTTCGTGGGTGGGGGCCATATTCTAGACCTTTACCATTTATTTTATTTTTTTATTTAGAACCATACACATTAGCACATTAAACTGAAACTTACCGGAGGTTTGATGCCTTATGAATGAATAAAATATCACTTATTTAGCTCATTTATAAATATAATTAACATTACAACACCTTTGTGATTGACTGACTTATGAAGGCAGACGTACATGTATAAAAAGCGTAACCGCAAGTAAGCATGTCCAAATGCTATCCTATCGGTGACATTTCTTTAGCCCTAGTAACAGCGATGTGACGTGGTAAGTAATGGATTTTCCAAGTAGTACTTCTTGTGAATTATTCCAAGTCAAGTAAAACACAGTCAGCTCGAACTGGGACGTTTCTTTTTTTTTTCCCTCTAGTTCTCTCTCGTTCTCTTTGTCCTATATATTTTTGTACGCTTGCCTCTTCTATAATACAAGTGGCGCTTTGAGCATGTACATATTTTATACTTTACGAAGTGTCCTAAATTTCGCGAAACAAATTTTTAACGGTCGTCATAAAATTTGAACGGCGAGTGTAATGCAGGAGAAAATAAAAACTCATTTAGCAGTCGACGTATAACAAATTATCGTTTTCCACATAAAACCAGGGGACATAAACGAAACTTACGATTATTACGAGGGTGGATTGTATAAAATCTCGATATTGTACGGAGTGTCCCGGAAAACAGTGTCAAGTAGGAACAGAGCGGTAGAGAACTGAAATTTAGCACATTCATGAACCTACGTACTACTTATTCCAATGTGGGGTCTGATATTTTTTCAATTTTTGATCACGTTTTTAAAGATTTTTCTTTGTCTATCCCGATAATTTTCATCTAATGGCTAGTCAGAAGTTTTTAAAAAACTAATCTTCAAACATTTTTTCGACAGTCAGGGAAAAATTTCCAATTAATAGGTACAGATTTCCTGTATGAAAATATCATCATCATAAGGTCGTTAATCGTAAGACTGGTTAAACACGCATCTCCACTCTCCTATCCTGAGCTAATCTTCGCATTTCCCTAAAACTAGAACAACCGACATTCTTAACCATTTGCGAACAATAATCTAATCTAGGTTTACCCCTACCCCTCTTAACTCCCGCTTCTGCCTCTAATATGTCTCTGACTAGACCTTCATGCCTGAGAAGGTGTCCTACTAACCTATCTCGCCTATTTCTTATTGACTTCCATAGAGTCCTCTATTCTCCTATTCTTTGTAATACCTTTTCATTTTTAACCTTTTCTATCCAAGGCATCCTTATCATTTCCTTATAACACCATATTTCGAACGCTTGTAACCTTTTCTTTTCCGCCGCGCCCACTGTTCATGTTTCGCATCCGTACAGCGCCGTGCTCCAAACATACACCTCTAACAACCTTTTTCTAATTTCTAAATTAACCATTCGTAAGCATAGAAGTGACTTCTTTTTATTAAAGGCTATCCTACCATATGGTTAGGGTACATGTATTTTCCTAAAAATTTTTCCAGGAGCTCGTACATTACTTTGAACATTGTGTTTATCGTATAATCCAAAAAAGGGAACGAAATTCAAAAAGAATTAATGCCCCAAGGAGTTAAAATTGTGCCTAGAAAGTTACCTACCAATTGCGAAAACCTTTAATAAACGAAAAAAGTTCGTTCGCAATTTTCATCCCCTGTCGTTTGGTTATTGTCTCGTGGTACGTATATGCAGGTATTATTACAGTGGATGTTTGTTTTTAAAGAATTTCTATTGAAAGCCTCGGAAGTAGGGAACCGATCGCGTGTTTTAGAAACATCGAATTTCCATCGAGCGTGTTGGGCTCCCGTATCAGTTTGCTTGTGAGGGTTTAGCTGTTTCGGAAGTGTGCCGCTTTCTTCTAATTTCCTCCTTTCGGTTAATGGAACCGCTTTTTCAAGTGCACTTCCCGAACCGACAGCGTTCCGTACCACACCGGAAAATGTGTGCTGTCTTTTTACAGACGTATACCTACATGCTTACGTATAATACACTCAACTTTTACACACTTGTTACGTTTGAGGCCTCTTCTTATATTTCAACACGACGAAAGACGATTGAATGTTTAGTGCATTACTTTTTAATAAAATAATAAACATTTTTTTTGGATTCAAGTATACATGTCATCACGTAGAACTATTGGTTCCCATCAGCACACTGTAAACAACTCGACACAAGTACAGGTCTGACGAAGGAAGCTGGTGAGCGATCGCGCAGGTACTTGCCCATTTATGACCTATTTGGGTAAGTCACTTGGAACCGATACACAAATAAGCTTTCAGTAGGCGTAAATTATAGTATTAATACAGATAGCACAGTAGCGTACTAGAAAATAATGACTTATCAAAAAGAAAAAATTAACCTATTGCTTTTGTTTTATAGTTAGTTTTCACATTCACTCTCATCATGGGAATCTCTACCACTGTCACAGATAGGACAGTAGCGTACTAGAAAATAATGACTTATCAAAAAGAAAAAATTAACCTATTGCTTTTGTTTTATAGTTAGTTTCCACATTCACTCTCATCATGGGAATCTCTACCACTGTCACCAACATCAACAATTAGTTATTCTGTTTGTCTGTCTATTACTTGCTCACTGATCCCTATTTTTAAATAATTAATCTACGCCCCTGATAGGAATACTGAAGAAAGAGGGCTGCAATCTTTATACCTAAAACTGCCTACGTTTGCCACCGCGCATCCACGCCATTTTAAAATTTCCGCCAGCTTCCAGCGTCAGGCCTGTACCAACCTACTTGCTACCATTAAACAGTTGCAATTAATGATTTGTTCGAATAATCATTACATGTTGCTTATTTAGAATACTTGAATACAGATATTATTACGACTTCGCCTTTATTTGTTTTTATCGTAAAGGTAGAAAGACTGTTCTTGATTCAATTTTGTGGGGAGGCACTTGACACTGAAACAGTTTTTATCAAAAAAAAAATAATCATTTTGCAGAGGCTTAAAAGTTACCAGTTTCAGTTATATCTCCAAAATATCGAATTACAATTTCCTTGATGTTACTGATACCCTTCACTTAAGTAATGAATTTTCCATTAATAAGAAACATTAAATATTAAATGTTGCTCTTCAGTAGTAACCTGCGCTTGACCTTATTTGCTTTTAGATGTAATTTTATTACGTACGTATCTTGTTCAGGTTTTTGGTAGCAGAGCCCAAAATTGATGAGATATGTATATTTTACTTACGAACGACAATTAAATAATAACAAATGCATGTGATAGTGTACATGTTAAAAGAAATTATTTTCTGTAATTTCATTTGAATGAGTTACATTTCTTCTAGCTCGAAATTATCAGTTTCAAAAAATCAATGGGTTAGATCGTTGCTCGCTGCAATAATTGCAGCCCATTAGACCTTTATGTTCACATATACTACCCGATTGCGTCGGCGCTTAGATCGTTGCTGATGTGAACTCAGCATCACTATATCATCATCACAGGGTCATCAACTTGCACACACCTTCACTCCTTCCTATATGCTGATCCAATCTTTGCATTTCCCAAAAGGTAGAACATCTCAATACCACGTCAAAAGTCCCAGCCGCTGTAAGCATATATATATGTCTAATTCTCTTTTAAACAATTTCTGATATAGCGTACCTAGGTTTAAAAATAGATTGCGGAAATTATAATTCAATTAATCATCATAGACGGTAAATGTTAAATCTTCAAATAGTAAAATCAAAGCGAAACTAATGGTTTAAATTTTTTAATTATTTCTAAACAACAGCCGACGTTTCGCCCAAGTGTAACGTAATGTTGCACATTGTTTGTTACGTGTTTATGTGTGTGTTAATGGCTTACTTGATTATTATCCCTTTTCTTTCCATCTCCTTGCATAGAAGTAATTGATTAAAGTTTGCCCTGTCCGTTGTGACGGAATAATACAATAACAATGAACAACGAGTTACTGGGGTGGCAATATGGCGGTGGCGTTCGTGTTCTGCATATGTAGAGTAGATTGTCGCATCCCCGTGCGAAATTGAACTAGAAACTGGCAGATATTATCAGTAGTAATTTATGGGGTGCCGCTAGTTGACATACCGGTTCAAAACATTATCTCGTAGACCTCTCGCGTTTCTGATGAATAGAATGAAAATGATGGTAATATTTTACCTTGGAGTTCCACTTGCCGAATTATTTCTGTCTCTCATCTAATGAACCTTAAAAGGATAAAGTGTTGATCAAGATCTGAAGGAGTTAATTGTTATCCTTTGCTATGTTTTTTTTTACTTAACGCTAAATAAAAATATGCTGTGGAAACTACTCTAGTTGATAATTGCCTATAGGAAAAGTAATTTCCTAAGAAAAATGTGTTTCATATATCATGTGGAGGAAAAAAGATATTATCTAGTATCAAAGAACTTATACGTACACTATATCTGATCATTACTCCAGAAAAATTAAAGGAGTAAAAGGTACGTGAAAAATAAGTAGAATGAGCCATCTGCTACCACTCAGTGATAAACATAAACATAAGGGTAATGACCTTACTGAAAGCCTAACTGTTCCGGCAATAACGACAATTACCAATCGTTACGTACAATTGAGTTGTCTACGTATCAGTTGTTGCTAAGGTCACGAACAGGTGCACGTGTCTTTCGTCAGTTGACGCATGCGATAACCAACCCCTTCTATTTCCAAAACTAGTGAAACAAAAACTATGATAAAATGGGATTGGAAGGATTTATTCTGAATTTTGCAGGAAAACTTGCATCCTCAAGGAAGACTAAATAATTTTCTTTTCTATTTTATGTTTTTACATACTTTTCAACAAGTAATTTTATCTTTTTTTTCAGGTGATATAACACAAAAGGGATATGAAAAGAAGCGTTCTAGACTACTTTCTCCATATGTGCCTAAACAAAATGCAGGTAAGAATATATTCTTTTTACTAAGAATATATAAATATATGAATTTGAAACAGTAATTACAAATCTTATTATAACAAACCCTTCCCATGCTACCTTTAGTTTATGATACTTAAACTTGAAAAATGATAGGTAGACATATATTTTTCTACAAAACCTACAGCGATAATCCAAACAGAAAATTGCTGGCCCTTGTCCAAATTACCTGTACATTCAGATATCTCAAATTCGATTACTGATACGCCTTTAATCTAATAAGTAGGTTATAAAAATATATAAACTATAACAAATATGCCTGTTAATTGTATAAGAGGTTCGGATCCTGCGGATATGTTCGTATTGTATAGAATAAAAGTACTTAATCTTCTGCATTATGTTTATTTTTAAAATAGGCATGGATTTCTTTCAAACTTCTTCATTACTACGAACGTTGTATTCATATATCCTATTACTTTTTTCTTCCAATTCATTAAAATTGGGATTATTGTCATAATTGTTCGTCAACTAGAGTTCGTTCTTAAACTGATGTTTTTTATCATAGTCATAAACTGTAATATTATTCTTTCGGAGGGACTTCTGAAAAGGTGTTGTATTAAAATGACATGAAATTTCGTATACAGGGTTTTTTTTGGGATGCTGGTTACGAATCTCACCAAGAAAAATAGCGCAAATGATGAGAAGTTTGATATATCGAAGATATATCGATAATCGAAAGTCGAAATTTTCCGGGAGTAAGGGGAGTGTTTTCTTATGGATTTGATTATCAGACAAACGAAAAAAGGGTAATCTTTTACATTAATTGACAGTCAAGTTGAGACATGAAGTTTACTCAGTAGGTAGTATTCACCAACTAGAATCGAGTGTTACTATTTACTAAAATTTTGTTTATTATTTATTTAGAAAACAATGTGGCTTGAAATACAGGCTCTTAAAGTTTTCTTAATCGGAGGAAATTCCGGTAGGACCGGCCCTGGCTTCAGCCTCTTCAGCTGTTCCCGCCAAATATCGTTTATCCTAAAAGATCTCATCGTGACATTATTTCAAAAGCATCCGGCGGGCAGGAACATTAAAGAAACTCGAATTTGTCATAAATGTATTTAATACCTAAAACCTACGTTAATAAATAGTATTATATATATTCAAATTTGTTTTAATTTTATGAAAATTCGAAAATAAAATTTTTGATTATCGATTATTATCGATATACCGTCAATATAATCAAACTTCTCATCATTTTCGCTCATTGTTATGGTGAGATTTGTAACCGGCATCCCAAAAAACTCCTGTCATTTTAAGATAACACCTTTTCTGAAGTTCTTTCGAATGAGTGGAGTACAGAATGAGCTTTGTCAGTTAACATTTTCCTTAAAAATGTCGATAGTTATTCGACAAAATTTTCAAGCGGAGGATTTTAACGATGTTTGCGAAGATTATCTCAGTTCGTAAGTAAAGTGTTCGCGAGTGAATACTTGATGTCAAGAGCTATGCCATACCATCGTGCAACAGCAACGTTGTTATACGTATAGTATATTTCGCGACCGTTCCGGAAAGTTTTGAGATTGTCTTCGAAAAGAGAAAACTTCGGGCAATGTTCATGGTGATTAAGTATGCCGGTTTATATTGGATCGATCTTAACTCCGGCATCCGGAACATACCAACGAAGCAGTAAAAAGACCAGACCGACCGAATTTTCTAATACTTTCCACATTTAAACTTTGTCGTTTGTTGATATAACAATCCAAACTTTTCGGGCAGTCGTTTAGCCGTCCGTATTTTCAATACGTTTTTCGGAATGGAATTACATCAGGCGGTTGTTAGTAGAAATTGAATTTTTCTGCTTATTTTTATTTTTTTTTGTCGTATTATTCACAGTATATTTTTATCGGAAAATTGGATCGGTTTAAAAGTTTTTTTTTTTGAAGTGAAACTTCATTACGCAATTACGCACGGTAGGGTAAGTTCGTTTCATGCGAGTTGCTATGTAACGAAATCATGCAACGCACTTCCCCGCTGTCTGTCCCTATGTATGGTTAGATCTTTAAAACTACGCAACGGATTTTAATGCAGTTTTTTTTTAATAGATAGAGTAATTCAAGAGGAAGGTTTATATGTATTATATATGCATAATATATTAGAGAAACACTGATAATTTTAGAGGTTTGTAATGTGATGTCGTAAATAAACACATTTTTTGCGCTTACATTGCAAACGCTGGCTGAACCCTACGAGATAAAATAATATACTACAGTATTGTACACCTTAAGAAGGTCTACAAAAAAGTTCGCGATGGTATATGTCTGTCTCTTAGGGATTACCCACAATAACCATTTTTTATCCTTAAATAATGGCTTATTTACGAATCGATTTTAAGCAATACAGCATTAATCCTTATCCAATTAAGTACTTTTAAATACATTCTATAGTATATTTACTATCAGCATTGCACCCGTGCGAAGCATAGTGTACAAATAATACCATTAAACCAATTCCTTAACCCCTATCTCGCTATGTTTGGGTGTTTGAAGAAGTTTCACTTCGGTAGCGGGTTGTATAATTACACGTTGTATTTTTTTTTAAAGATAGAAGGAGTCTCAAATCGGTTTGTCGAAGTAGAACACAGCACATTACGGTGTACGCGCGTGGCTAATTTTTGCGAGATGTTTTCTACATTTTGCTTTTTAATATTCACCTGAATAATTGTATGCAGTTTATTTTCGTCCGAGCAGCTTGTCTCTTTTGTGTTTAGAATTAGCGGTTTTAAAGAGACGTTCGTTATTGTCGTACTAGGTGGAGAAGGTGCCATGTCACATGTGAAATATTCATAAACGAATCCGTGACGAATTTCAAATAATGCGATTTTTCGGTGCAGAACACGCACGCGGGCACGCGGACACGTGTAGAATTAGTCACAGGGTAACGCCACAATATAATTCTTTGCTGTGCCAACGCAGAAACAAAGCTCTTAACAATACAGACACCTCACTGTTGCTATAAATAGATTAAATTTTAATTTAAATTCAAAATTCACACAAACATTCATATATGCTGTATGAGCCAATGAAACAATCAAACAATTGNCCCTTGCGAAGCATAGTGTACAAATAATACCATTAAACCAATTCCTTAACCCCTATCCCGGTATGTTTGTGTGTTTGAAGAAGTTTCACTTCAGTAGCGTGTTATATAATAACACGTTGTATTTTTTTTACTTGATGCTACTAAAAATTCAGATTCAAACAAAACATTTTTAAGTTCCAGAGGTTCTAAATAGAATCTTAAAACTAAATTTATTACAATAAATTATCAAATAAAAAATAAGGTACCATGTGTTTTTGTATCGACTTGGTTATTTAATAGGCAAGAAAAAAATGAAATTTGAATTCTTTATTATAGGTTAAGGTTTGTTATTAAATTGATAATGTAATTGCAAATACATGCACCCCTAGGTAGTAATTCTCAGTAACGATATATATTTGAATAGGGTCAAGTCAATAAACTATATGTACCTATATAAACTACCCTTAAATGCGAAAAGTTACCTAATGCCTACGTGTTTCATGTAATTAATTACAAATTCACTCTTTAATGCTGTACAGACATCATTTACTTTTCCGGTGATTAACTTCCCTTTTTAAGCTTTTTCATGCTTAGCATAGCGTGTTCCTCATAAACAAGCAAGATATATTATTATTACTTAATACAAGTGCAACTCCTTTGCAATGAAACTGTTCTATGTAGCCATTTCCGTTTAAATTAAGATTTATGTATATTGTTACCAGCATTTAGGGTTTTGGAACGTCTTTCTTCGCACATCTGTTGATAATGAGGTCATTGCTTTTTAATTTTGTAAATTACAGCACGAAATAATAATGAAAAATCATTATTTTAATTTGATTTAATGGAAAATATTTTTTTTTTATAACAATTACAGATGTAATTAGTTCTTAATCGAAAAATATGTTGTAACAATTTTTTCAGAACACAAATGTGCGTAATAGAGACAGGGTTTAAGTATAGTGTAGTTATTACTTTGTAACTTTTAGTTGTAAGAATAAACGTTTACATATGAAGTACGATAGTTAGCACTAGATGGCGGTGTACTGCCAATAACTTGATATTAATCAAGTTACCTTTACGGATAGCCGGCAATTTATCGAAACCGTCTCTCTAATAAGTTCCAAATGGCGATACACATCTGTTAACTTAGATAATGACGTAGTTCCTTAAATTCTCATACTGAATTGTTTATTAAAAAAAATCCTGCTCCTCAAACCGATTTAAATGTCGGAGACGAAACTACGGACATGTTTTATTTCTACCATCGCTTACTAGCTCTGAAAACGTAAATTTTTGGTTAGCTAAATGGATTACACAAAACATGAAACTCCTACTGAATAAATTATGCTGTATATGGTGAGAGCACAGAATCGTATTATTATCCCTCAAATCCTGCTGTTTGCGGGTTGAAAATTTAATTATGCGAACAAGCGTAGGCCATAAAACCTGTAGGTATGTACGTACTATAAAATTGCTGATACACAACTGACATTAATTATTCCATACAGCATTTAAAAAAAAACTGTAATAACATCCTGGCATCGATATACTTTATATTATAACTTATTTAACGTAATTGTGGACTGTGTACATATACTCACGAAGATGACGTTAGGAAAGCAGTTTTTTTGTATCGAAGAAGCATCTTTACCTTTTTATTTTCTTTGTAAATGATGGGAAATAGTACCTGTTCCAAACCCCATTGAAATTACGACCACTTATTACACCGGCTGATCTGATGTAAAACTACAACTTGTCGAACATCTTTATTGAACCGTTGACAAGAAGCCTGCTATTTTAATATTGACTTGAAGTACATTTTCCAGCTCCAGCTGCTATTTATTTTGCTGTCGGTCTCACGCTATCAATATTTAACGTTAACTTACCTATATTTAGTTGTATATGAAGGTTGGAATTAACAGGGCCGGAGTCTCAAATATGATGGTGTATGTAGAACAGTAATTTGAATTAGGCTTTGTCGTTTTCGGATCATAACAGTTACGATTACAATAAAAAATTTATAATTGGCATGGACCATTACAGCATAAAGAACTGGTCAAATGAATGTCATAGATGTCGTCAGCTACATTAAAATTTAATTTTGAGATTTTAATAAATTATATTATTATAAACCTATTTTTACTAGTATATAATTCGCGTTTATATAACATTTAAGTATGTTGTGAACGAATGCCGCAGGCGATCGATATCGGTAGTGCGGCGGCTTTGATGCACCCGTAAGTCGACAGTTGCTGGTTATAAATTATACTGTGCGAGTGGGACTGGCACGATAAAAGGAACTGATGGGAAGTTTCCGGAAATAAAATATTCCATGACCTTGTATATAACTAACCACTACCTAACGGAAAATAGTCGTTACGAGAAAGTCATAATAGGAAATTCATTAGTTAGTTACATTCATATCTACACCATTTATACTTGCAATATTGATTTTACGTCGCAAATAGGATAAAAGAAATAGCTTCTTGTATTAGTAACCAGGAATTATTGGTAATTATGGTGTTTTCAATTAACAGCGTCTTACTTGCAGTGGTTAATGCAACAAGTTTTTTTATTGTTCCATCAATTGTCTTACAATCCTCGCCTTTACTAATGTATTTAATTACAAATTAAAATGTTACAGGAGTTTTCTTTCTACCTTTACCTTTACCGTTACCATTTACTATACCGTTAATGCAGGTGACCCATTTTCATTTACTGGTAACAAACTATTGACTACATAATCAAGATATATAAATACGATAAGTAAATTGTTGTGTTGTTTGCTTTTGGTTTATTTCATGTGATATTACAATAAGTATCTAACGCATTCTCACAATGCATTCCATGTCTTCCCATGTCATATCCAGAGAAAATGTTGAACAAGACGACGTTTCTTACTGTTTTTCATTTTTCATTTCGCGCTTTTTATTGTCTCCCCAATAGCTTCATAAACATAACATTGCATCTTTCATTTTTGTCAGCTTCATTGGAGGGAAATGGCGTCGGGAGCGGAAACGAGAATAACCTCGGAAATGGCGGCGGTGAGGGTGGCATTTGTATCGTCGGGGGTATCAGTGGTGGCAAACAGTACACAAGAAGGCGCACACAACGTCGCGTCACTCACAATGAAAAAAGATACCATTCAGGTTGGCCATGATTCCCTATAAGTCCGTCTTGTTGTTGTTTTTTTTTTGTGTTCTTTGGCACCGTTGCTTAAAAATCCGTCTCATTGCTTTTTTGTAGTGCTGCACATCCATTTGATCGTGTGATTTAATATTGCTGTTTTTGTCGCTTGGGCTTTTGTTGTTATTTTTGTTTGTTAATAGTTTGATAGTAACAAGAAGACATCGTTCTGTAAGTATTAGGCAAAGTTATTTAGTCCTGTAGCTAAATCGTTCGTTTGTTTGATGAGATTATTCTAAAAGGGTAAAGTTGGCTGGTATTTTAAAATTCGGCTAATCGAGGTAATCGTTTAGCTAAACCTATTTTGTATTAGTTATTGTTTTTCGTTCCTAACCAAAAAAAAAAAAACTGACCAAGTTGCAAGGTTCGAACTCATGCACTTCGGCGTGGTAGGCTCTCTAGCTAAAGGGCTATTTACAAACTGATCTCTGAGGTAATATGTAATTAATCATTTCATCATAAGGTCGTCAGTCCTAAGACTGGTTGGACACGTACCTCCACTCTTTCCTATCCTGAGCTAATCTTCGCATTTCCCTAAAACTAGAACAACCCACATCCTTAACTATTTGCGAACAGTAATCTAATCAAGGTCTACCCCTACCCCTCCTAACTCCCGTTTCTGCCTCTAATATGTCTCTGACTAGACCTTCATGCCTGAGAAGGTGTCCTACCAACCTATCTCGCCTATTTTTTATTGACTTCCATAGAGTCCTCTGTTCTCCTATTCTTTCTAATACCTCTTCATTTCTAACCTCTTTTATTCACGGTATCCTCATGATTCGCCTATAACATCACATTTCGAACGGTTTTAACCTTTTCTTTTCCGCCGCGCACACTGTCCATGTTTCGCACCCGTACAGCGCCACACTCCAAACATACATCTTTAACATTCTTTTTCTAATTTCTATATTAACCATTCTCTAGCATAGAATTGACTTCTTTTTATTTAAGGCGACTCGACTCTGCGCGACCCTTTGTTTTATATCCTTACTCCTTCCGTCCTGACTAATCTGATTTCCTAGATACCTACTAATATTTTGTCCCTGTAATCCTTTCCCTACAGTTGTACTGTCTTTAATGATGTTGATCGCGTCTTCGATGTATAGATTAAAAAGTAGCGGTGACAGTGTGCATAATTAAATAATAAGTTTCGAATAAAGATAACGTAAAATTTGGTCATTTTAATTGTATATAAAGAAAACAGGATCCTTTATAAGTAATCCATATTTCGAAGTTCATAAAGATGTCTAACGCTTCCTTTCTATTGCATCAGCAGTATCTGTTCCAAATTCTGTCATCGTGGTTGAAGAACCACTTGATGATTATGGACAAGTGCCATTTTATTTTTAAACCGCAACAAAACGTGTCGGCGACACGCGTTCTTTGCGTGCAGAGTGTGTCGACAAGTAACTATTCTTGTCAGTCCGATGACCCCTTTCGCACTGACGATGATTTAACGCGAAGTTGAATTCTTTGTTAAATTTTTGTCAATTGCAATTTAAAGTCATTACGCACAAGCACTTGTTCGTACGTTTTTACGAGTGGTCTTGTTGTAAGGGTTTAATTGTGCAATAAGCAGTGTTACCAAGGTAGTAGAGCACGAAAACAACTCGAAACATTTTCTAGAATGTAAAGCGATTTTTGATACTTTGAAAGTTTTTATTTTATTTTCATTTTCGTTGTTCGTCTTCGATCTGTTTGGATTTATTTTTTATTTTTTTCGTGCTCGTACTTTTGGGTGTAAATGTGTATGTTATATCATCCATCAGTCAACAAATCTGCTAGAAAACGTCACTATAGAAATTCCTCGTCAAACGCAACGTCCTTGAAAAGTCCTTTACATTCCTGCAACCGCTTGGCGCTGTGACTATTACATACTACTAATATTAGTTGAAGTTTTGGATGGATGTAAAATCGACATTCCTTAAAATTGGAAACCCAAATTCAATCCCGTGTAATGTGAAGGTACAAGTTCGGGTTTATTTCCCGAGAAACATCGAGTTACTATAGATTCCCGGGTTAATTTACTTTCTTCTAGACTTCTTAGGTATATCATATTTATTGTTTAGCAGTGATATTTTCCATTAAATTTACTCGTCTTTCTCTACATCTTGTTCGAAGAGAATGTTAGCAATTTAGTTGTATATCGCTACAGCTTAACGAGCTTCGTAACTAAGTTAATTAACTGCCTTCAAGAGTCCTTTTTCGAATCTTAAATATTAGGAATTTAATTAAGCATTTACAGTAGTTGCTTCCGGAGTTCGTTCGGTTAGTCACTTTTGGAACTGTACAACAGTTAGCAACATGTCGAATTTCCAACGAGAAAACTCAATTACGACTTTTTGAAGTACTGGAAAAGTTTTAAACTTCTCGTCGTCGGTCGCTTGAGCTTTTTTTCGTCATTTACTGATTTTTATCAACTACATGTCCTTATAGGTACCGGAGGTTGTCACAATTTTCAGTGGTCTATGGTAAAACCAGAATTTCATGTTTTTTTTTTACATTAAATTTGTCAAACTGTATTACAGTTTCATTCAGGAAAATATAGTAAATGACCCTATAACTATGTTTGAATTTCATTTTATATATTACTTGAACCGCTAAAGTAATTCCAATTCCTCTAATGTCCCAGTCTCGATTTTGGTAGTACCAATTCTGTCCTAACTCCTAACATATTTATAATTTCCAAAACGTTTTTAGATTATATGGAAACCTAGAAATCGTAGCTTTCTTCGTTCATTTTGCTTCATTTTTCGGTCGTTAATTGATTGCAGCTATGAATTGATGTTAATTGCAAATTCCAATCGTTGTTTGACAACTGAACAATTTATAATCAATTGTACATGAAATGTAACAATTATTTGTTTATCAAATTGCAATGTATGTATTTTCCTTTGGAGCAACTAATTGGGAACACAATTGAATGGTGAGACCTCTGGTGACGAATGCACCGAACTGTTTTAAAGTCGGGGTAAATGTAATAGCACCAAAACTAATCTAATTTAATAAAAAGCTAATTTAAAGTATTTATTGATAAATTATTTTGTTATTCGTAATTTTTCTGATTTAGTGGTCAACATGATGGAGGCTGTCATACTTTTTTTCAATCAATGTTTGTCTATGTCAACAACCCCCTTTAGAACAGTTCACCTCGTTTCTCATAAGTCTTGCCTTTCCATTGGGTTTTATTCTTCACAAGAAAGGCATATAATTGTTTTAAATGAAATGCTTATTTATTATGCTTCTAGGGGTATCTATCGCTTTACCATTAGGTATTTTTTCTCATCCGTTTTTTGGGATTTTTTCACATACATTTTTGTTATATGTCTCTGTCAGTTGTTTTTGTTTATGTGTAGTACCTAGATACATTATATATATATATATCGATGTAGTCCCTATGTATTCTACTGCCCAGATTTTATTTTGTCAAATTAGTTGTTGTCGCTTTTGAGTGTTGCATGGCTAATGTTGTGTCTTGCATGTAGCTGTGGGCTCGGGGGTTGCGCCCCAACAGCGAGGGTTCAGTCCGGCGGCCAAAGCTCATCGTAGAAACAATCGAAGACTTACCAGGAATGAGAGCAGATACCATTCTGGTAAGTGCACACATTTCATTCAATTACGACGTGTTTGTATTGCTTGTTTATGTCTCTTTGTATTTGTCGAAACCAATCCGTAAAATTAGACATTTTAGAGTACGACCAAATAACGAAAGCATTGTACTCCTCAGGTCCTGAGGGACCGTAGCGTGGGTGTAGAGTCCTTCGTTGAGTCTCAGTACAACCGCAGTGAAATTTTACCGGAACGCAAAACACGCTCTTGTTAAGTTCTCTGAGAATGTCAGTTACAGCTGTTGACGAAACGTCTGATAAACGACTGAGAGAGAATCAATACAATATAAAGACCATCAAGCTCGAATATCAAACACTTTTCGTCTTTTCATCGATATTTTTTTTTTTACAAAACGAACGCTATCGACTACAGTTAGTATTTGTATTCTTCGAAGCACAGCTTTGATTAATCTTCCAATATTTACATTAACTTAATTGAAATTATTGTTCGTGATTTAGCATTTTCAATTGGTAACCAGTGGCATTTTATTGAGAGAAAGAGCTCTTACTTTTTTTAAATGTGAATACACACCTATTTTTAACCTTAGCAACGGAAAGGATTTAAAATTTTGTGATCGGAAATTTATATCGTTGAAGTCAATTTCCTCTTGATTTTTCAGGAAGTTAATAGAATGAGATATTCGAAGTATTAGACAAGAAGCAACAATTGATGCTTTTGAGTATGACCTCGCCCTTGAAGGTTTAAATTCTTTATTCGGAGGGAATACTTAACGTATTTTTGATTCCACCTCGGAAATAATTAACTCAGTTTTTCAACGGTATTTATGAGAAATTAAGAGTAAATCAATTTCCGATTTAGTGTCTTTTGGTGGATATTATTTAAATACCAAAAAAAACACTAATAATAACAAATAACAATTTATAATAACCAGAACAAAACGAAAACACAAGTAACAAAAAGCACAAAGAGTGAAACAAACAAACGAGAACAAGGTAACAGAAAGAACAAGATAATACAACAATAACAATAACAAAGACAACAAAAATGAAACAATGTAGCAAATAGGCAAAGGCACTTACGAAAGGTGGTAGTAGCGGTAGACGAGAGACTGTCTTGAGATAAGAAATTTTAGAGTATTTATAGGATAGGGTTGTTAGTAATTTTGATAGAATGTTCTAGAAGGAAAAGTAGTGAGAGAGAGGGTGAAGACACTAGTTTGTAGGAATACACAGAATTAGATAGTACAGAATTCAAGAGAAAGCAATTAAGGGTAAAACCAGATATTAGTATGGGAATGCATGCAGGTATGGTTGAAGTTGGATTTCCAGGTAAAAGTGATTGAAAGAACAATAGAGTTTAGATTGAAAGGAAACCAAAGTATTTACAAGATAAGAAGTTGAAAAGAATTGAAATAATATTTGAAGTGAAATAATATTCGAAATGAAATATTATTTGAAATGAAATATTAATTGAAATGAAATATTAATTGAAATGGAAAAATTAGAAAAAAATATTTACACGTAAAAAAAACAAAAACAGTTATTTCGCCACACCGATTATAAAAATTCCCGCTATTTTCATTGCTGGGGTCAGTAATATGTATTTCTATCAAAAAAAAAATGATTCAAATTTTACATTGTGTAAGGTTACTAGTTGATTTTCCCAATAGAAGAGTTACAAGCTTTGTCAAATTGTTTTCCAATAACTACCAGTAAGATCCATAATCATAAGGTCGTCAGTCTGGTTGGACACGCACCTCCACTCTTTCCTATGCTGAGCTAATCTTCGCATTTCCCTAAAACTAAAACAATCCACATCCTTAACTGTTTGCCAACAGTAACCTAATCTAGGTCTACCCCTACCCCTCCTAACCCCCGCTTCTGCCTCTAATATGTCTCTGACTAGACCTTCATGCCTAAGAAGGTGTCCTACTAACCTATCTTGCCTATTTCTTATTGACTTCCATAGAGTCCTCTGTTCTCCTATTCTTTCTAATACCTCTTCATTTCTAACCTTCTTTACCAATGGCATCCTTATCATTCGCATGTAACACCACATTTCGAACGCTTCTAACCTTTTCTTTTTTTGCACCCTTTTAACAACCTTTTTTGAATTTCTAAATTAACCGTTCGCAAGCATACTTCTGTTTATTGACTCGCTTTTTATTTACTTCTCTACGTTGCAGCCCCAGCCCTATAACTACCTGTTCCTCTTTATACAAACTAAGTATCACTCTTCTATCTCTGTAACTCATCCCTACATTTTTAAGTATGTTTAACATGTTGTCCCATTTAACATTGTCAAAAGCTTTTTCTAAATCTACAAATCCTATGTACGCACTCTTTCCTTTTTCTATCGTTTTCTTTGTTGTTACCCGTAAAATTGGAATGGCCTCCCACATTCCCCTATTTCTTCTAAACCCAAATTGATTTTCCCCTAATAGTTCTTCCGCCCTTTTTTCCATCCTCCTCTGTACAATTCCAGTTAAAATCCAATCAAGATAGATATTCCATCGTCTCATAGAACCCTAATATGTTCTACTAATAAGGCCTACTAATTATATATATACTATGTTTTCCCTTGGTATGTAGCTGGTTTGTCGCTCTGAAAATGCTAAATAATTAAAAAAGCCATGGAATCCTATTAACCCAATGGGGGCTCCACTCCTAGCGTTGTTGTGTTAGTACAGAACACAATTACAGTGACATGCAATTTGATATTGCAGCATTAGTATTCAAAAACTGATGCGCCGCTGTATACATTACACGAATACATACGCAAAACATGAACGTCGATGACTCGTGGCATGTTTGACTTGGTAGTTTTGCCATTCAATATGCATAAACATGTTGAGTTGTATTTAACGTTTCTCCATCAGTTTACACAAGTTTTTGTTGATTGTTTGCTGTGTGCCATCCTCCCGTTCATACTTAAATGAATAAAATAAATATTGGTGCCGGTATAGGTATCATTGAGTATCGAATCAATTAAATAAAACGGTTAACAATTAACATAACTCTAATTTCAGGTTTGGTGTCGTTTTTTTGAGATTTACAAATCTAATTGTAAAAACAGAATCTAAATACATATTACTATTAATTAAAGATTCCATTGGGCAAACCTTATTTTTAAGTCCCAAAATGTGTCTCCCCCCCATATGTCTACCGCCCCCCCCGCATTTTTCATCCAAGTATTTTACAAAAATTACGATTCTATAACACAGTTGACGATATTACTAAAATTGTTTAGATTAACGCAGAGAGTTTATCAACAGGACTATTCAAGCAATTTAAGGGATGAAAAATGTTTTATTTTTTGATATATAATCCGATCAAACATAAAGATTCTTAGATTTGCAGAAAGTATAGACAGCACAAAAATCCATTGAAATTTACCAAAGCGTATATTAAAAATTGTAATACAAGTAATTAAAAATAACATATACAGTTTTAATTATGATGTCGTTTGTACTACCACATGGGTTTACTGATGTATTTTAATTAATTTATTGTTTTAATTGTGAATGTTATTTGTATCTAGTTTTACATTTTAACCACACTTTATACTATAGCTTGGGTGAATTTCAACGGATATTTTAAACAAAGGCAGTGTTTAACCATTTGGAGTACTGCCCTTTATTTTATACCTACAACAAAATTTAACGGCAAATTCCAATTTGCTCTTGTTTTTTTTTTGCGTAAACCAATGAACGTTGCTACTTTAAAAGTACGTTTCCATTTGTTTTCTGTACAGGAACTGTTTTATCTCCTGTCGGACTGAAAGCTTTGTTGTTTAGTTAAACACTAAAACCGAAGTCCCTGTTTATTGGGCTAATCCGATCACTAAACCACTGGCTGCCAATGGCATCAACAAATTTGCTAGTTTATTATGAAAAGCCTTCAATGAATTGTTTTTAAAGAGTTTTAGATGTATCCCAATTGTTTATTTTTGTTGTTTTTAAAGAATTTTAGATATTTCCCAATTGTTTATTTTTGTTGAAATGGGTATATGTAATTTTGGGTGTTATCTATTAAAAAAAAAATTCATTTTCCATTTATACAAACGATATATTTTTGAAAAAATTGTTGCTGTTGTCTCACTCTTGCCGGGAATCGAACCCGGGACCTTTGGCTTTACACACCAATGCTCTGACTTTTAAGTTATGAGATGCCTACAGCAACAAATTTTTCTTCATTAACTTGAGGTAATTTATAGTTGGTATAAATGGAAAATGAATTTTCACATTAATAATTGAAATTTTAACCACTATTAAATATCAAAGTGTTTCATATATATGTCATCTATTATTAGGGATAATCATAGGTGTAACCCATAACATTGGAAATAGAATTCAAAATAGATTACCGAAATTTTTGATATAGTTGTCGTGTAAGGCAAAATTTTTGGGATTACTTAATAAAAACTGCTTAAATAGGGCATATCCAACTTAATACAAGAATACCTAGTCACAATGTTGAATAAAGCTTGCCTTTAAGAAGCCTTATATCTCCAAGACGAAACGTGGTGGTTGGTTCTACAATTGAATTTATAGAAAAAAGGGAAGAAATAGATGTTATGTTAGATATTAGTTCCTAATCATATATAACTCAATACTATTCGTTGCATATAAAGCATGTTTTTTTTTGGGTTTAAGTCAAACCAAAACTAGTGCAACCGTATCAATAATTATCGAAAATTCTTCGATCTGATTCATTATTGCAGCATAGAACAAAAGAAAAAGTTGCATTTAGGGCTTAAGTCTTTTAAATCCTGTATTAAAATAGCTTTTTCAGCGAGTTTCAGTGAAAACTTGCAAAAATAGCTTATGCTGAAAGCAACAAAATGAAAATAAAAAAAAACTTTTTGGTTTTATTTTGTCAGTTAGTCTATATGAACACGTACCGTGCAAAAATAAAACTGGTGGTTTTCACTATAGATACCCCCAAGGAAAATAAGGTAGGTTTTATTAGGGTTCCTAATAATTACGGTTTCGCACCCTAATAGCGAATGAAGCTACTATTAC